GGAATCCCCAGTTTGGAGTGTGTTGAAGAGGAAACTTTGTTCAGTGCAACAGCTCAATTGTGATACAGCAGGGCTATGAAAATAACTGCTGTTAGGAGGCCCTGGGGGGAGGCTGCCCTGGGCAAGGTGACCCCGAGTCAGGCCCCTCTCCTGCAAGATAGTTCTGCTCTGCCCTCCACTGGTCTGCCCTGCTGTGGTTCAGTAAGACATCTTTGGTGTTTCATCTCCAGCCATGGCAATGAAGTCTGAAATCTTTGGCGGAAAAGGGAAGTTCACTCTCAAAAGCCAGAGAGGAGTGACATATAGACAGAAATCCCCACCCCTAGTCCCCGATTGGTCTGTCCTCATGTAAATGAAGATTCCACATTCTTCTAGTTTGATTGGATCAAAAGACACTGACCTGATTGGTTATAAAGGAGCTGCTCTGATTGGTTGGTGAAAAATCTGATGAGGCTATAGCTGCACAGTTCTGATTGGGTAGGGAAAGACTCAGTCTAGGATTCCAGGAACTCCTTTGTAAGCACTGGCTCCAATGGCAGCAACACAGCGCAGGCAGGCAGTTTAGTGCAGAGGCATGTAGTTCAGTTCAGGCTCCTCCCTGAAGAAATGCAGCTTGAATGAGAGGCTCCTCTATAGAAATGGCTGTTGTTTAATAGCTATCTTCTTTCTCATGGCCCACACTAGTCATTCATTCAGCAAATATTTCCGAGTTCCTGATATTTGCCAGATACTGCTTAAATAAGATAGGCATTTTCCCTCTATATTCTAGTGAGGAAAATAGTTATAAACATTTCAATAAGTGAATCAATTAATTATATATGGTTGATAAATACAAAGAAGGAAATGTAGAGAGCTGAGATGGTAGGAAAGTGTTCTGTGGGAGTTAAACAAAATATTTATAGTATTCTGTGGGAGTTTCACTTCTAGTTAAGGCATAGATTAGGTTGTGGCCGATTAATTTTCCCACTGTAACAAGTAGAGAAAGAAGGATCAACGTTAAAATCATGTGTGTGTGTGTTTTTAAATAAAAACCTTAATGGAGCCGAAACCGGTTTGGCTCAGTGGATAGAGCGTCGGTCTGCGGACTGAAAGGTCCCAGGTTTGATTCCCATCAAGGGCATGTACATTGGTTGTGAACACATCCCCAGTAGGGGGTGTGCAAGAGGCAGCTGGTTGATGTTTCTCTCTCATCGATGTTTCTAGCTCTCTATCCTTCTCCCTTCCTCTATGTAAAAAAATCAATAAAATATATTTTTAAAAAAAAGAAATTAGTATTATTATTTAAAAAAAAAACTTAAAGGGGAGGTGTGGACACAAAGAAGTCTAAAGGAGGTAAATCCCATGGGGGGAAGAGCTTTCCTAGGTGAGCAGAACCTAGTGATCACTTCCTTCCGTGGAATATATCTGTCCCTGAGTCTGTGCACTGCTAGGCATAAGATCACACCGGCTTACGTAGAGAGACTTTATTGGAGTGAGGGCGCACCAGTGGAGTTGTTAATGTCTGTCTGCTCTGGCTCAACTGTTTGGAATTTGTAGAAGTACCAAATGCAGAGCCAGTTCTCCACACCTGATAGTTCTCCCTCTTGGGATTTTGTGCTGGTGCGCAGCAACTCAGAAGGCTGGGGGCTGCACTCTAAATCAGAGTGAGATTTCTGTAGTCCCATGGCATTATCCCAAAGTCTTCTGAACAGGAGGGACCTATAACAGAGACAGGACAGATCTCCCCCTTGAAGGTGACCTAAAACTCAGCCCAGACCCAACTTAGCTCCTGGTTTGGTTGAGGTAATCTGTGCCTCACTTTATTTATCAGATAGAGGAAAAGGCTTGTGTTTCTGGAGGAAATTATGATTAATTTCAATATTTTAGAATTCTTTTAAAATCAATATCTCCATACAACCTAAGTTGTAATTTGCAATGGGAAAAAATGTGACCCATGGACAACTAATTGACTATATTTCAATACTAACAGACATACTTTTGGCACAGATGTTGACATTAAGAGAGAAGAACTTTCAAATAATAACAAATACGTTAAAGAAACTAAAGGATAAAAAGATGACTAATGTCAACATAGAAATAGAATCTCTCAAAAGAATGGATTGGACATTCATAATGTAAATCCCCCCCTCCTCCAAATCAGAATTGAAGCATTCATTGGATGGACTTAACAGACTGGACACATGGAAGAAATGAAAAGTGAGCCAGAAATCAGGGCAATAGAAAAATCTCTAAACAGAAATACAGAAAACGGGTCGGGGGAAAGGCAAATCTGATTGTGAGGGATATTTGAGACAGTATCAAATGGCCCAACAGTCCTCTTTTTGGAGTTCCAGAGATAGAGGAGAGAGAATCAGATGGAAGACATATTTGAAGAGAAAATGGATAAGAATATACCAAAATTGATGAAAGATTTTAATAGCTCAATAAACTTTTCTATGCCAAGTGAAAATGAATTAAAAATGAAAATGAATTAAAGATGTATTCAGAAAGAAACCTGATGGAATTTGTTGTACCAGCAGATTCACAGTGCAAAAAATGGTAAGGAGAGAGAGGAGAAATGCTTATAGGAAGTTCTCACAGCTAAAGGGGAATGATTTGTTATGGCTACATGGACATAAAGGAAGGATTAAGAGCACAAGAAAGACTGCTTATTTAGTTTTTAAAAATATTATTAACTTTTAAATAAAAACAATAACAATGATAACTGTTGTGAAATGGAGACATGTGAAGAAGCAACATTATGATAACAGTAATATAAAGAGGAGAGAATTATACTCTTGTAAGTTATTTTATTTACATTGTTGAGGGATTGTAAAATATTAATTAAAGGTAGACAGTAATAAGTTCTAGATCTCCAGTAATTATTAAAATAGAATACAATTTATTCCTTAAAAGATAACTGAGGAAAATACAATAATAAAATGTATTTTTAAATACCATTTTGAAGTTATGGTAGTTAGCATGAACTTAAACTCTAATCTTAAACCTAATGGCATTCTTCCCCAAAATAGTTGCTCTGTAACACATTTGCATTCTGTTTTCATGTAATGTTTTCCTGGTATTGTTATGAAATTTTTTAAAAAATACAAACAGCTGACAAAGCTTAGACTCTGTTTATCCTAATATGGTGAGGTATGCAACGCCAGATTAAAGCTCATCGAAGTGTTGGGTGAGCCTGAGGATCACAATTACTCGTGTGTGATGCTTCAAAAATGGAAGGTCATGGTCCCTACTCCCTGTGAGGAAGGAGGAAATATTTGTCTCCTTAATTTAAAAAGTGAGAACTCTTCCAAGTGTGCTTATCCAAAAAATGCTGTCTGTGCACTTTGCCAAAAAAGAATAGTTGGTCATTGCAATTAAAGCATTCCTTAGGTGGATTGTCTCAGATGAAACCAGCATGTTACTCAGATGCTCATGTCTGTATTTCATGTCTGTTCCCCCCCAGCCCTCAGCAGTTTTATGATAATGTCTTCTCAGAATACCCTTTGCCTCCTCACCCCAGTAGGGTCCCTCTACCTATGCAGGTGGTGATTCTGTTCTCCCTGAACTGACCAGTGGTCTCTGTGCTGCAGGTGGATGTCCCACTTCCCAATCCGAATATAGGGTTTCTTTTGTGTGTGTGTGTGTGTGTGTGTGTGTGTGTGTTTAGTCCTCACCAGAGGATATTCTTCCATTGATTTTTCAGAGAGAGTGGAAGACAGAGAGAGACAGAAATATTGATGTAAGAGAAACACATCAATAGGTTGCCTTCTGCATGCACCCTGGCCAGGGCAGGGATTGAGCCTGCGACCGAGCGTTGACCAAAATCTAACCCAAGACCCTTCAATCCATAGGTTGGCACTCTGTCCATTGAGCCAAATCGCCTAGGGCAAGGGTTTGCTATTAAATATTATATATCGTTTTCTGACACTATCTCATCTCAAAAGGCAAAATAAATTTTTTTTTCAATTAAGAAATTCTGGTAAAGTACACATGAGATAAAATTTACCATCTTAATTATTTTAAGCTTGTATTAAGTACATTCACATTGTTGCACAACCATCTCCACCATCCAACTCCAGAACTAATTTCATCTTGAGAAAATAAAACTTGGTTCTCATTAAGCAACTACCCATTCCCTCCTGCCCCAAGCTCCTGGAAACTACTGTTCTACTTTCTGCCTCTATGAATTTGACTACTCTAGGAATCTCAACTAAGTGGAGTTTTCAAGTATTTGTCTTAGTGAGCCTGGCTTATTTCACTTAGCATCAAGTCTTCAAGTTTCATTAATGCTGTAGCATGGAGCAGAATGTCTTTCCTTTTTAAAGCTGAATTGTTTGTATTAAATGACATATTATGTTTATCCATTCATTCAATGACAGCTATTTGGATAGTTTATACCATGTGGCTTTTGTGAATAATGCTGCTATGAACATGGATGTACGAAAAAATGTCTTTGAGACCCTGCTTTCAATTCTTTTGTCCTTTTACCCAAAAATAGAGTTGCTGGGTCATATAGTAATTCTATGTTCAAAATTTTTAGAAATCTCCATATTGTTTTCTACAACAGCTATACCATTTTACATTCCTACCAACAATGCACTGGGGTTTCAGTTTCTCCACATTCTCATCAACACTGTTTTTTTTATTTTTATTTTTTTGTGACAACCCAAATAGGTGTGAGCAGTCAACCTTTTATCTACTCTGTCATCATCTTAGATCCTTTGCAGAGATAGACTATGTATGTTTTGATTAAGGCAAATAACTTTCTACTTTATGAATATGTGAAAATTTTAAAAGTCTTTTTGTTGTAAGTCCTGAATGGCCACAGATACATTATGAATTAGAGAAGGGTAAAAAAAAAAAAAAAAAAAAAAGGCCACCACTGAGTGGAGATTTTCCCCTCAAACCCCTCTCTTCCTTACTGGCTCCATTTCTTCACTGACTTTAAATCTAAATTCAATTTTGTGATTTATGACATGAAAGAGACTGATTTTAATTCTCAGATATTCTTTCCTCAGAAAATCCATTCCTCGCTGCCGCAGAATTAACAGGATGCTCTCCAATGAATCCCTCCATTCTCCTGCATTCAGCCGCTCCAACTCACAAGCCTCCGTGGACAGCGCCTCCATGGACAGCACCTCCATGGAGGATTTCTGGCGGGAAATAGAAAGCATTAAAGAGAACAGCATGGGAGGGCAAGAGGAGCAGGCACCAGCTGAGGTCAAGCCTGTGGATGGTAAGTGCGAGTTTCCTTTTCTTGTGTGCTAACTTTCTTTGTATGCTCTCTCTTGTTCTGTTAATAGGTAAAACTCATTTCATTAGTAGTTGAATTTAGTAGAATTCAGCATATCAGCTACTTGTTCCACTGATTTATATCTACTGGACTGACTCAAAGTGGCTTTTTATTTTTTTTTTAAAGAATATATTTTTATTGATTTTAGAGAGGAAGGGAGAAGGAGAAAGAGTTAGAAACATCAGTGATGAAACAGAGTCATTGATCAGCTGCCTCCTGTACACCCACAGGGAGGATTGAGCTTGCAATCCAGGCATGTGTCCTGACTAAGAGTTGAACCATGACCTCTTGGTTCATAGGTCGATGTTCATCCACTGAGCCATGCAGGCCAGGCCATTCCCTTCTTAATATGGTTCACCAACAACCTTACTGATGTGGGTTAGTACATAATGGCACAACTTAGGTTCACCTTTGCATTTTCTGTTAAAGGACGGTTTATAAAGCAAACGAGCAATAAAAACAAAAAAGAAAATAAAGATTTGCCTAGCTAAGATATTGGAGCTGTGAAGCACATTTGAGGCTTTTATTCACATACCAGTGCAGCAAGCATGGTCCAAGACTACTAGACTGATATTTTGACAGGCATTTACAAATCAGTCTAATTTGCTCTTTACACAAACCTCATTCAGGAATGCCTGTTTAGCATAGCTCCCAAAATTGTATGTGCAGTGGACTTGCTGTTACAAGATGTTATTATTCTGAATCCTTTATTATTTCTGTATCTCTAATTTACAATAGCAATTGATTCTTATTATGACTAACTTTTCATTTTTTTAATTGCCTTCTGAAAAATTGAAAGATTACCTTATGTTCAGAATAAGGAGAAAGTAAGAGAACAAATAACTGTTGAACCACATACTCTGTTCAAGGTGTTTTTTTTTGTGTTTTTTTTTTTACCATTTGTCATAACTACATTGATAAAACAATCCTCATAGCTGAGTAAAATTTTTGTTATCATTATCTTTATTTTGCCAATAATACATTGAAGCCAAAGGGTATCTTAAAACCTTCCAAATCCAGTAAATAGTAGCATTAGGATTTGAACCTGCCTTTGAGTGATTAAAAGCCCTTTTGGATGCTGTTTAAACCCCTATTTTTCTATTATGATTTTAGTTTAAATATTCATATTTTTTCTTCTTTTGAATTAATAGTCCAGATATAGCTGGACTATTAATTCAACTGTCTGGCCAAGAAGAAGAAAAAAAAAAAAAAACCTTACTCAATCTGCCAATTAACTTTATTGTACTAGAAAATACTTTAAAATTTGACTTAAAAAATACAATATAAACCTTTCATTCATTTTAATAGGCCTTTTCTTTAATTTGGAAAAAAAAGACAATCTTAACATATTGATTATTGATATTTCTTATTCACAGATATGCACAGACCTACAGATATACATCTCATCCAATCAGACAGAGAATGTGCTAATACCCTCTTGGTCGTGTTATTTTTCAGAAGGAGAACTTGAAGCAGAGTGGTTGCAAGATGTGGGTTTATCAACCCTGATCTCAGGTGATGAAGAGGAGGATTGCAAAGCCTTGCTCTCCACATTGACTCGAACCCAAGCAGCTGCAGTGAAAAAGAGATATAATACTTACACTCAAACCATGAGAAAAAGGAACAAGCAATCTGTCAGGGATGTCAGAGACATCTTTGGAGTCAGCGAATCTCCTGTAAGTAAGGAACACGGCTCAAAAGGTTTGGTTTGGTTGGGGAAGAAGGTGAAGGATGGGAACATGGAAAACGTATTATCTGCTAGGTTTTAAAGAAAGCTAAAGCAGACAGCACAGTCCGAAATTTTACAAATTTGAAATGTAAGCTCTCATTTCTTATTCCATTCATCAATCTCCCTCAACATTCAATGTATTCCTTTCTCCACTGAAGTTACTTTTGGCAACAGGGCAAGTCTTTACGGGTGGGCTACAGAGAGCCTTTTACTTAAATCTAAGTGCTGAGTGGAAACAGGTAAAGGGGCCATGGGAAAGTGGCCCCAGTATCATAAGCAAGTCTGGGTGGTTTGTTTTAAATGGAGGTGGGGGTGGGAGAGGAAGTAGGGATAGCCTTTATGGTCAAATAAGTTAAAAAGGTAAACAACTGAAAGGTCTGAGCATTAATTAAGTAGGAGGCAGAGGATTCATAAAAAAACATAAGGGAATCAAGGCATGTGTCGTGAGGAATGGCTGGTTGAGTTCCAAGGCCACACTTTTACTTCTGAGGCTGTGAATCAGGTTCTCCTATTTTTTTGTTTGTTTCATAGCAAGCTCTGCCTTACAACGCATTCATTCATTCATTCATTCATTCCATCATTGCAATGTTGTATCGCATCATCATTGATGTAAAAAAAAGAGTTATTGGACACATTAACTGTGCAAGGAACTAGATTAGGTTCTATAAGGATGGGATTCTTAGAACCTGGAGGGTGATTAGTATATAGATAAAAGGAAACTTGATATTCTGCTGCAATTACAAATAAATTTCCCTGGGCAAGTTAGTTCATCATCTGAGTTAGGTTTTTCATCTGTGTAATTATTATATCAATAATGACATCAATTAAAATTTCAAGGATTTTGAGTAGCAAGCATAGTTGAAGCCAGTTTCCAATTTGAGTTACTTTAGGTTGTCTCTGTCATATCTTCCCTTAGATATAGTTATCACATTGACTAGTTGCCAGGGAAGCTCACATCTACTTCATTAACCTTTGCATTTGTGCTAAGAATGTCCTAGAGTAGCACTGTCCTGTAGAACTTGCCATAGTGATAGAAATGATCTATTTCTGTGCTGACCAATACGGTAGCCCTATTTACATGTGGCACCAGCATTCGAAATATGGCTGGTGTGACTAAGGAACTGAATTTTTATTTTTATTTCCTCTTAATTGATTTAAATCTAAATAGTTACATGTGACTAATAGCTAATGAATTGAATAGCACAGTTCTAAAATCTTCTATATAAATATATACCTTGAAGTAAGTGTGTTTTGAGTTCCGTGATATTTCAAACTACCTAAAACCTGCCATTCCGATGGTGAGATTTTCTGCAGCTGTAATTAAATAAATAAAGGTGATGCCCACAATTTAAAGCAAGGGCTCCAGCCACAGGTTCGCAGCCAAGATGTCTATCCAGGAGAAGGTGTACACTGTTGGTTTAAATTCCCTGGGTCATTTTTCAGTTATCTCCCAGACCAACATGAGAGTCCTGAGGATCGGGCTACATGTTTTCCTTTTGTTTTCCTTTCCACTTCTGTTTCCAGCTACCCCAGACAAAGGTTGTTGCTCTTCCTTGTTAAACTACAAAATAGCAAAGGGTTTGTAGGCTTCTCCCAAATCCTCCATTTACTTAAGAAAATACATAGCTGGCCTCTTTAGGGTTCCTAAAACTTTGGATAAATAGTAACAGGATCAGGGAGAGAAAGAGATCTTTTGGGGCTCCTTCCTCTTCTTTCACTTAGATCCTGAAGGGAACCATAAAATAGGCAATTACCCATTTGGGCTCTAGATATCAAAATAAATGAGTCTTTTATTTTTACCTCATGTCCAGGTGCATAAACTGTTTGGTGTTCTCAGTTCCAGAGAGGGTCTAAGACAGTGCCTCTGTGATGGTGGAGGTGGCCAGGGCCGGGTGGCTCTTCCTCCTATCCTCTTTCTCTTCTCTCTTCCAGTCCTGCTGCTGAAGCCCCAGGAGACATAAACTCTATGATTTCACAGATATATATGTTATATGACTACTTCTGCCTTTCATTTATTTAAAAAGATTTAACTGTCATTTTGTTAGTTTGTCATAGGCTCTCCTTGCCCTTGACTTGCCTGGGGGCTGAGGATTAAATCTGCAACCCAGCCGTGTGCCCATGACTGGGAACTGAACCTTTGACCATTATCTGTGCAGGTCGTCACTCTATCCACTGAGCCAGGGCTATTTTCATTCCTGATATGTGCCTTTTTTCTGGATCAGCATTCAGCTTCTGCACATTTTCCTCCTGTGGAAGCTCTGTAGATTTTTAAAAGCTTCCTGTATCTTTTTCCAGTTTGAGGCTCTCCCCCATTCTTATCAAACCATTCTTGCTTGCTTTTAATCTTTCAGGAACATTTAACAGTTCTCTTCTACTAATGGAAATGTTTAGTGGTTTCTAGATCTACTCTTTGAAAAAAGTATCTCTTTTGACACTGAGTGATTTCTAGGGAGACCTGAAGTGGTATATATATAATTCGCTATCTTGATTCAACTCTCCTATGCTAATTCTTTAATAGTATTTGTTTCTTTCAAAGGATGTTTTTTTCTTATTATAAAAGTAATATATAATCTTTACTTGAAGCTTAGAAAATATAGACAAGCAAGGTAAATTATGACTATTTCTATGGGTCCAAATAAAATTTTATTATTTCATTAAATATATAATAAATTTTATTCTCATTGGCATTCTGACCATAAAGTAATAGAATATTTCACCCTTGTTTTGGTAGAGCCATTATATACTAAATCACAAATACTAAATCTACCTCTGGACACATGACACAAGGTCTACAGTCTTATTCATCATGAACAGAATTCCAGTGCCTAGGTACATTTTTGTAAAATTCAGGAGATGTGAACCAAATATTTCTTTCAGTAACATTTGAGAAAAATTGTCAGTCTAATTCCATGTAACACCTGTTGCCCAGAACTGTTATATGATCATCTTTAGTTGTAAGGGAGCCTGGGAAATCAATTTTTTTTTTAGTTGGACAAAAATGTTCCTTAAAAAAAATCAGAATTATGTTAAGGGAGATAAGCGCCTAGGTTTGGGGCAGGCAGTTGATAGTATCTGGTTTCCACAGAGGCCGGTGTCAATCATCCTGGCAAGTACTGGCTGATCATGGCTAAATGTGCAAGGCGGTCATATGTATATATAGCTCCACAAATATATCAGAATATACACATATTATGCAAAACACATAACTAAATGCACAATGACATTTGGGAGAATATGCCTGAATAAAAATGCACTCTCACTTTTCTCAATAGCCAGATGCTTTTTGTTGTATCCCAACTCCTCTTTTGGATGCGACCCTGGATGAAGAAGGGATATCAGCAATTCCCTCCAGAAATGGTCTACTGGTAAGATAAGCAAGAGGAGCTAAGAGTAAGCAGTTTAGAAAACAGTAATTATTTCAATGCAATCAGAACACTTGAGAAAAACGCCTGCTTATAACAAGAAAAAGAAGACTCTTAAACTCAGGAATGAATACTTAACTAGTTAAAACCACAAATAACTATATGGCCTACCTGCACCTATAACATCAAAAACAGCCACAGCTGCAGCTATAGCCACAGCCATAAGGCAAATAAGTGGGGGGAAGGTCATCAGCTAAAATTTGTTCTCTTTTCTGAGCACATAATGTAAAATCTTGCGCTACCCTCCATGTAGCTTTCAATATTAATTGGTAGTTCTCACCATAATACATATTTTGACATCTCAGTTATTTTCTAAATGTAAATATTGGGAGGGGGGTAGCGTGATAGCATCTTAAACATATTGCACTACGTGGGGAAAGGTGCAAGGTGCACTGTCTGGCACAGGAAGTAGATAATTGTCACCATGTCACAGGGCGGGAGATACCTCATTAGAGCACTCCATGTTTGTTTTAGTAGAGTTTCAAAGAAAGCTCACTTGAGTTTATAACTGTCAGTAGAAGGCTTTCGTTTTGTGAGATGAATTCATTGCACCACTTTGGTGAAGCTGATCCTCTTATTGAAGTGGTGTGCGTCGAGTAGGAAAAGTAGGAGGTCATGGGTTTATCTTTCTTCACTTGGTCTCGGGGTTGCAGAAAATTTGCAGTGGGAGACTTTCCTCTTATACTTCAATATGTTTTCTTCTCGCTAGCTCTGCTTTCTCCCTTCCTAGCAGAAGAAGGGGGATTCTTTACTATTCTATGAATAAGCGCTGTGCCACCTCTGATGCGATGAAGAAGACGAGAATGATGCTTAGTCTCTATACAATTTATTTTCATCTTCTGCATATTTTGCATGAGAGACTCACTCATGAGTTGCTCCTGGTCCCTTCTGGAAGTCTGCTGTAGGGTTTGCAGTTTGTTTTCTGGCTGCCCTTCTGTGACCAAGAGTAAGCCAAGATCTGGAGAGGGAGTCTGGGCAATTGCGGATGTGAACAATTCTCTTTTGTAGAAGTTGTCTCTAATTTTTTTCTTATTGTATTTCTCATAAGAGTCCTAACTCTTTCCAGTCAGAGGTTTTTCAGTTTTCTATTGGGCTGGAAGAAGGTGTCCCTCTGGTTTCACGTTGTGCCCACAGTGCAAAAAGTCCTGCATACCTTACTTCCAACCAGGAACTTGCCTCAGGGTTATTTGTTCTTCTCTGCTGCTCTGTTTTACTTCACAGCAGCCACTGCCTCTCCCCTCCACCAGAGGAGGAGCAGAGTAGACACTGATGTGTTTCCAAATAATGGGTTCCTTTGAGACTTTACCCCTACATTTACTAACTCTCCCTACATTTTGATTGCCTCCTCTGCTCCTCATATTCACCAGTTTATTCTGTTCATCAGATTTTTTTATTCACTTGATTTTTAGATTCACTTATTGATAGATATCTATTTGTTGTTCATAATTTTTATGTTTACCTTTTTTTTCTTCTTCCTCTTCTTAAAGAGTCTGTGACTGTGTATTAGGGAGATCCCCTATGCCTC